ACTGAAATCTATGTTGAAGACGATGAAGGTCAGCAGGTCGAATAAAGATCAAGATGTAGACGAATCAAGTATTGTTTACTATGGGGTGCACACTCTACGCCGCATCTCTTTCACATAGCTTCAATTCCTATTTATTTTTTGATTACAGCTTGATACCACAGTGTTTTTTGGTGCAAGTATGAAATTTTCAGCATGTGATATCGGTAGCCCAAATTTTGCAGACCGACCATAGGAATCAGGTGTGCGTCGGTAGGGGTCGAACCCCGGACCATGTGCATGGTTGGCGGGCGTCCTAACCACTGTGCCACCGGCGCACTGTGGCTACGGTTAAAAAAAAGAAATTCTATGGACTCTACTTTTACACTGTATCTACACGTTGACGCACACACACACACGCATAGTTAGGACCAACAAGGTGTTCGAATGTTACCGGAAAAAGCATGCTTATAAATGCTTATTAAATCACATAGAAAACCAAATGTACGTGATATGAATAGAAGTTCAGCATTATCCATTGCAAAACATTTACTGTCTGATCACAAAATCAGTATTAGTAACTGTTTCTCAATTACTAAACACAAATTTGACTCAAGGTTATTAAAGATGATGATGATGGAAACACTTTGGATTAATCGCTTGCATTCCTAAACTATGTATACAGAAAATCCTAGCCTACCATGGATTGCCTGACCTACTAAAATACAATTTGAACAAAGCAACAACTACAGTTTTAGCAGAATAAAATGGTACCATATTTTATTTCGTCGCCTTCTCTTCAGCTGCTTACAGGGCAAAAACATTATTAAATGTATCTACAAAAACAATTTAACATACTTGCACAGAGTTCATTTTAAACAGAAATCAATCGATCAATATACACATACACTAATTATATATATATATGCAATATTGAACACAATTCCGAGCAATAATAATCATACAAAATGAAAACTTTTCAGTATCTCGCATGCATTTTTGCTTCTGGACGTGCAACTAGCAAGACACGAACAAGATGGGACACTCAAAAGATCCATTCACAGAAAACCGACATGGAATGGACAACTCATCAGCTTTCACAGTTGGGTGCCTCTATATACAAAACGAAATCTAATCCGCTCACTGACTCACAGAATCCACAACATTTGCAGTCCGGAAACCATAGAAGAGGAGCTGAAGACCCTGAAAAGAACCCTCCTTGAAAACGGTTACCCGGAACGTTTCATCACAAAAGCCATGAAGCCCAAAACACAAAAGCCGTCCACGCTTACTGCTCCCAAGAAACTTCTCTATTTGAATCTACAATTCAACGGAGATTCTTCAGCAGAAATACTGAGAAACCGCCTGTGCCGTTCACTGAAGAAAACCTTCTTCGCAGCTGAACTCAGACTAACTTTCTCTACGAAACCAATGATTCGCACGAACGTGAAGGATAAGCTTCCACTGGGGGCCTCATCAATGTGCATCTACCAATTCACCTGCTCATGTGGAGCGAGGTATGTTGGCCGTACCCAGCGTTTGTTATCCAAACGAATCAGCGAACATTTACCTTCATGGTTTTATAAAGGAGAAAGAAGATTCCCCCGCCACAGCTCTATCCTAGAACACTTGATCGAATCCGGACACCAAGCAAACCCACAAAACAACTTCTCAGTTATCCACACAATACGTGGGAGTCTTGCCAAAAGAGTACGAATTAAACTTCTTCAAACTGCAGAAGCAATGGCAATTCACATATTGAATCCTGAACTCTGCATACAAAAGACGTTTGTTCAATCACTAAATCTACAATGGTCCTGATCTATCTCAACACCAAATACGTAATTTCGTCTTACCTCTTTCTTCTTTGTTTGTCTGTTTCTTAATGGCATTATTTTCTACCCCCACCCTCTATTAAATCTCTACCCTCATGACGACTGTTACTAACTCCATTTTCGTTCATTTTCAAGTGAATTCTACTCAGACTATTAACTTGACTCTCATTCACTTTTCATTGAACCCTAGCAATTAGATTACGTCACCCAACCTACTTTTGTAACTTTATTTTAGTTTCTAACCGATTAACGCCTTCTAAATTACGTAATTTGTTGTCAAAAATTAACAATTGCATTAACACATCTTTGGAAATATTCCTTTTGTTGCCAAGAAAAATTACTATAAATTTGCGGTTTGTACAGCTTGAGAATGATATCGCCGAAAAGAGTAACTCTTTGCTGAACGCTTTTTCTTTATATAATTGTCAAACACTTCATTTTACTATTGTGAACGATGCTGGTTGTAAAACGATAGTAAAGAAACTATAAAAAATGATATCATCTCGGAATATTTGCCTTCTTAATACCTTATCCTAATAAGAATCTGTCGTCATTCATTTGTTGATACTGTGCAGGAAACATGTGTACCAGCTTTGCAATTGTATGGAGTACACAGAGAGAGGTGTTTGTGAATCAAGTGTAAGCAATATGAAATCCTTTACTCACGACATCAAAAAACACGTCAAACAGCATCGTCACTTTCGGAATAAATGTAGACCTCTACACAGAATATGCCAATTTCTTATGAAATAGACTTCCTCCTAGTCTACAATAATGTATAATATAACCATCGTAAACAAGCGCATCTGAAAAATTATCAGCAGTTAATCAATTTAGAAGACTTGAGAAATCTGTAGTATGCATATATAATGATGAAAAGATCGGATCCTGCGAACAAATTAGGGATTGTACTGCCGGTAACCAAATAATCTTTAATAACTGCTGTTAACTGTCAATCTTGGAATACACAACTATGTAACAGAGCACCATGTTCTGGAATAAATTACTTGCTATTTTGGTTGACTAATTCCTCACTGTATTGACTTTTTAAAGTGTCCATACAATGTCATGTCTTCATTTCTCTCACCGAAGTGAAACATGTCGAGGATAAGGATATCTTCCTTCCTGTATCCCACATTGTCTAGATAATGCAAAAGATGCCGTAAACGTTTGCATGTATGCATCCATAGAGAACTAGTATCATCCACTGCAACTTTGCAGGTATTTCTTTCTTACACACTTAACAGTAACGAATGTTTAACAAAGCTGAATTAACTTAATGCATATTTACGTGCAGAATCTGCCTTGGAATATGAAGACTTACGGACTAAAATTACACAATTCAGTCCGTCCGTAGCTGCGCAACAGCTTATTTTTTTGATATAGATATTGTTCGTACTCCATTTCAACAAATAAAGGACGTCATGATTCCTAAAATCACTGAAGCCACAGACTACCTGGGTGAAATCATTCGATAACAAGACTAAGAGCCATGACAACAATCATCCTTTGATGAATCCATGAAATGATTGTCGATTGTGGCTAGAAAAGTGTCACTTTTTCTCTTCGACTAACCATGAGCTAAAGAGGCATATGTAATAAGTACGGTATTTTCACTGGACACTAGTAACTAGTGTGACGTATCTAGTCCTTTCTTTGGTGTAGACTGAATTCTATCAGTCAGGTTTGCAATGTGGCAACCATTCTAGGTAGCTCGCCATCACAGTGCACCCACTACAGTCCTACAGGAGGTCAATCGCGAGCCCAAATAGCTCAGTGGTAACGTCTCTGACTGCAGCCCCACTGGGTGACGCGGGTTCGAATCTCAGAAGGGACATGAGTTCCTTCAAGGTTGCAGATACGTCTTGCTGACTGGTGAGTGCCAACTAGCACGAAACCTAGGTCGAAGGCTTCCTGTGGCCGATTGCCTCCAACTATCTAATATCATCTAATAAGTACGGTGGCCATCCTGATTCTGAGATTATATTCGTAATCAAAAATATTCACCTTCCTCTCTTTAATTAATTAATTAATTACACAGTACAAGAAATTCCTTCCATAAAAAGTAGTACTTCTAGTGTGCAGTAAATGCAACCTTATAAAACAGTCAAGCTAAGTTATAAAACCATAGATTCACACATTAAGAGAAAGCAATCCAATAGGAAGGAAACATACATAAACTTGTGGATCAACTGAGACTATTATCGTTGATTTCTGTAAAATTTATCTCTTAAAGTCTTTATCACAACTGTAAGGCTACAATGACGATCACTTAAGAAGTCGTATACTAAAGGAGACACTAACCGACGCAATAATCTTCATAAATTCCTCTAAAATCTCCGCTTTACACTACAAATACATTTGAACAACCTTAAAGACAGTTGATTCATCATACTTTCTTTAAAGCTCATTTACTCAGAACGATTTTTTTTCATGTACCAGGATAAGTGTGCCACACTCATTGTATGAGGTGACAGTGTGGTGAGAGCTGTTTGTAAGACAAAATTGTGGACAACAATTCAATGTTTGTGTACCGAATCGAGGTCATGAGAAAAAACAATAATAACCAATCACAGCAGACTTTACGTGTGCAAATACGATTCGCAGATTTATGGCTTATACTGCTAAGAAACGGTTACAAGCAGTACAGAATAACCTTCAGCAAGAAAACAATCAATCAGAAGGCGTTGCTTCTCCGCTGACAATAATATACATAAAAATCTAGAAATATTTGTTGATTTTCCCAATAAACGATCTGTTGTCTGACCCTTGTCTTTTGTTGTGGTGGTGTGATACAGACAATGTGTTCCACAGGAATATTATTCTCACATATATTCCCACAATTCAATACTGCATTAGCAACAGAGTATTATATATATATTTGAACATTCTACTTTACGTCGTTTGATGCAAGCCAAAATCACACGCCCAATGATTGGTTAGAGAATATAAAACTGTATCTATATAGATAGCGGTTTGATAACTTGGCTTCTGTGTCTTGCCTTCTGCTAATACAGTACTATCCAGTTACTCAGACTTAAGTAGATGGAGAGGGACTCGAACTTGTGACATATTGGCTGAAAATCAAGTGTTTACAGTCCGGTAAGCCGCAACATCTCAATTAGTTTTGCTAAGCAAATATGGACAAAAACCAACGCACTGGCATGTTAAGAAAAAGAAGAAAAGATATTCATGATTAACTTTCTCTCTTATGTACATTTAAAAAGAAGGAAAAGTTAAAAGTATAGACAAGGTGTTCTGACCCCATAAGCGCCTATATACATTACACAGGTAGGCAGGCATGCATGCATACATAGAAGTCACAAAAAAACAATCAAAATATTGAGATTAAGAAAAAATCACATAGAAAAAAAAAACAAAGAGAGGTAATAAAGAAAGAAAAAGACAGTTAGGATTCTTTTTTAAAAGCAGTATGTTAACATATCTATACTAAATAATAATAATAATAATGGTGGTCAAATCAAACCATGACGTTTTTTGTATTCTTGTAAGTTTAACAGCCGACGATTTGGTTTTCCAGATGGACCATTCATTATTGGTGTCTGTGGACTACCATTTATAAAATCATGATTACTAGAGTTAGCAGTACCACCACGTGGTCTCGGACTAGTAGACTGTCGAACATCAGCATTCGTTGAAGCTGTTGTCCGGTTACTAGAATTCGGTTGATCAGTATTACTGTCTAAATCCAAGTCAATATTAATTTCAAAATTATGTATTGCATGCAGAGACTCGTGTGGTGTAGATAAATTGCTGTTATCATCTCCCAGTGACCAGCAAACAGAATCCGGTGCTTCAGTTAATACACTGCTACTTCCCACTGGTGTGTTTAACAATGAAGATTTAGATGAAAGGCTTAAATCTGACTGTGGAGTTGGTGGGAGCGGTGGAATACTTTGATTTAAATCACACGAAGTTCTGGAGGCATCGGGTTGTGAAGCACCGAGCTGTAATTAAAATATAATGTTAAAATTAGGAGAATAATTAATACAAATAGAAATATCATTTTAAAAGTGTCACTTTGTAATACATAAGTGTTCAAGTATTGGTTCGTAGGGATTTGGTTGACTGATTACAGGATTTCATCATGAGCTGACATTGGTTAGAGAACCATTGGAAAACCTGGGAGTACTGGACACCTGTTTTGTCCTAGTTTGGGACTCTTCATCAGTACGCACCCATCAGGATTCAAACCCAGGACCCTCTGGTTACAAGGCGAGCTCGTATACCATTAAGCCACTGGGACCCGATCCAATGGCCCATGAGTTCTAACTTCTGCCAATTCACGATATAGCGCAACCGCTAGCCAATGTCTTCGGCGAGTATTCGGTTCTCTAACCAATGTCAGCTCATGATGAAATCCTGTAACCAATACATAAGTGTATTGGGTCGGGTCAAAGATGTGTTGATAAATAAAATGTGAACTATGTTGTTGGTGATCTTAAAAACTGTAGACTTCTATGAGTTATTATTTTATTCCTATGCACTCCACGTGGAACATATGGCTTCAAACTTGAGCTTTGAAGTTCTAGTAGCCGTGGTGTTTACTTTTTACTGAATGCAGTTACTAGTCTCATGCCTAGCCTTTCTCTCTTTACTGGACTTACGGTTAGCTAAGCGAGGTTTAGTAGTGCGTTCTCTGGAAATCGAACCCCGGACCATGTGCCTAGTTGACATGTTCTACCACTGAACCACCACCCAACGCACGGACTTCAAGGCACAGTAAACTAAAGCTACTGACAACGTTACATCAGTAACTAAACATAGTGATTAGAGAGCATTAAAGGACAATGATTTCCCGTGGATTGTATGCAATTATGAGCTTACACGATTCAATTCATGAAATTAAGCAGATAGGTCCGATTTTCTAATGAATCAACCGGTAAAAAAAAACCTACTTTCAATAGTTGGTTTGTAAGGGTTAGATTTGCTTTGATGAGTTAATCACTGGCCGATATCAGTTAGAGAACCATTGAAAACCAGGGAGTACTGAAGAGCTGTTTCATCCTTGTTTGGGAATCATCAACAGTACGCCCCCTCTGACAACGTTATAACCCAGGACTTTCCCGTTACAAGGCTAGCGAGCTCGTATACCATTCAGCCACTGGGACCCGATTCAATGGTCGAATGGTATACGAGCTCGCTAGCCTTGTAACGGGAAAGTCCTGGGTTATAACGTTGTCAGAGGGTGCGTACTGTCGATGATTCCCGAACATGAATGAAACAGCTGTCCAATACTCCCTGGTTTTCAATTGTTCTCTAAGTGATATCAATCCGTGATCAACTCTTCAAAAAAAGAACTTATTTGAGATTCAAAGCGATATAAAAATTTTAGGAGAATCAAGAAACTAAGATTTTAATCAACTCAAAATGTACAATCAATTATTAATGTAATAGTGTTCGGCTCGTATGATTTAGATATAATAGAGAAGATTTGTAGCTCAGGTGGATGATTTTGGTGTGGTTGTGTTGCAACGACTGCGACAAACATTACATTGGTCAAAGTGGACGCCCTCTTCGTCTTCGCATTCACGAACACAAACTAGCTGTCAAAAGACACGACATACACTACCTCATATCACTACATGCAGACAACCACGGGCAACAATTCGACTGGGACAATGTTCAAATCTTAGACAAAGGGAACTGCAAAAATGCCAGAGAATTCCTAGAGGCCTGGTATTCAAATGAATCAGCAATCAATAGACACATAGAGATTGACAAAATATACCAATCCATACGAAGAAATTCACACAAAAACAAAGTCAAACTTCAGGTCAAGGAAACAGTCAACACCAAAACAAGTGAACTAGAAAGTGAGAAGTCACACAAAAACAACCAATCACGTTCAAGGTTAGCAGAAGGAATGACTAACGACATTCAGACCAAAGAAGCAGCCAGCACCGAGACAAGCAAACTAGGGGGTGAAATGTCACACGAAAACAACCAATCACGTTCAGGGTTACTAGAAGAGATGACTAATAAACTCATAGAGAACTCTAAAAGCTCACTTCACATCGAAGTATGCGCTGAAGATGTTGCTCAGTAGAGCAATGAAAGCTTCGCAACCAAACCATCCAGCTCAGAGAACACAACCACACCAATTATTAATGTACATGCATCAGTTACCAAAAGGTAACCAATCTAGTAGCCTATTCCTAAATTATGATTGACTGAAATGTATCAGTTAAACAGTCGTATTTCTAAATTCTTAGCACATAATCCTTACAAACCAAACTATAGAAAATTATTCTGATGCTCGCTAGTGACTTGCTACAGGTTGGAGCTTCCTGGAGTTCTAGTAAGAAGTCATGACCAGTGAGGTGCAATTAGAAGTCACGTGTGTGGATGGATGTCCCACCAACGACAATAGTTGGGGTCGCGCTAAAATCACGAATTGGTAGAAGTTAGAATTCATGAGCCATTGAATCGGGGTCCCAGTGGCTGAATGGTATACGAGCTTGCCTTGTAACCGGAAGGTCCTGGGTTCGGATCCCAGTGGGTGCGTACTGCCGATGATTCCCAAACTAGGATGAAACAGCAGCTGTCCAGTACTCCATTCTGGTTTTCAATGGTTCTCTAACTGATATCAGTCCGTGATCAACTCGTAAAACATAACTAATCCTTACAAACCAAACTGTAGATAAATTTTGATTAAACTGTCTAAAACCGAAATGCAAATAAAGACATATTAGCAGTTAAACAAGCTGAACGAGACAAAAGTAAAAGAAACTCTGCTACAGTAGCGAAATCGGTATCACAAACTCCGATACTCATTGTCCATCCAACTAATTGGTTTGTCACCTTGCACTAGTACAGAAAACCTGCTGAGAATAACAACTACTAATCAAGCTCATAACTTTGCCCTTGATTACTGTTTTTAAAGTTGCAATATACACGCTTGACATCTAATTACAAGACTATAAGATGGACGGTGGGGGAGGGTTATCGAAATTATCGCAATTAAATTTGAGTAGTGAGACAGCATCGTAAACACCCTCAAAAAATATGAAATAGTCAAATATTTGATTGTGTGGCGCATCTTTCTTGGTGCCATATTGTACCAAGTTTTTTCTGCGTTTAAATAAAAATAAAGTAATAAATAAACATTTGATTCCTGTGGATTTGTAAAATGTTATTTATTTATTTATTTCAACACAAACTTGGTAAAGCAGAGGTCTTCCTCATTACCAAGGTATTGGTTTTCTGCTGTATACATCTATCTAAAGGAAAGCCTGACGAATCAAAAGAAACACAATATCAGGCTGCGTCAATTCTCAAACAAAATTAGGTACACGTCAGAATTTATTGCATCGGTAATTCAGTAGCAGAATATTCACCGACCACACTGTCTTACAATTTATTTTCCCTTAAGGGACAGCGGGCAGTAAGGAAACAGGCATAAAATGGACACACACAAAAACCTTAGAGAATCTGAACTTCGCCGACGATATATGTCTGATTTCCCACAAACTGGAAGATATGCAAGTGAAAAGCAACAAGTTGGCAGAAAAAGCATCCAGAGAAGATAGAACTTCAGGTGAACATAGAGAAAACAGAGGTGATGAAGATTCCTGGGCAACACCACCAACAGCAACAACAACAGACAACAATCAGCATAAATAGAAGGAACCTGAAAGAAACAACCTCTTTTACCTACCTGGGAAGCATCGTTTCAACTACAGGCCGGCGGAACTGACGAGGATATCAAAGCAGCGAGGATCGGAAAAGCAAGACAAGCTTTCACTACTCTCAAGTCTGTGTGGAGGTCAACAGCACTCAGCATGAAAACGAAGATAATATCCGGATTTTCAACTCGAATGTGAAGTCAGTGTTACTATACGGATCAGAGACTTGGTCAGTGCGTCATAAAGAGCACCTCAAACAAACTACAGACCTTCATCAACAGTTGTCTTCGCTCAATACTTCACTCAAGATCAGATGGCCGGCCAGAAAAGATCAGCAACAGAGATCTCTGGGAGTGAACCAACCCAACAGGAGCCAATTGTGCAACGAATATGCAGGAAGAAATGGAGATGGATTGGCCATACTATGAGGAAACCATCAAGTGACATCACTAGACAAGCCATCGCTCGAGTGGAAACCGAAAGGGAAGCGGCGAGTTGGTCGTCAGTGCAAGGGTGGGTGACTTGGAGGAGGTCATGTGAAGAGGAGATGAAAACGTGTGGACAGACTTGGAGCCAGGTGAAGACTCTAGTGGAGAACCGAACGCAATGGAGACGCACGGCTGAAGCCCTACGTTCCTCTAGGAATTAAAGGAAACAATAATAATAATCATACATACAGATTAAGCAAGTATTCTGACAAATAGTAAACACACACACACAAACACAAAACTGTTAATTAAAACACAAAGAAAGATAAATAATGATTTGACACTTACCCTTTTATGACGTAAATTCTCTAAATACTTCTTTGTTACAATTACTGGTTGAGAATGGACTCGTGTGAATGGATCCTCTTCCTTTGATTTCATGGCTTCTTCACTTTCCTGGCGAATTGCTTCTTCAGCTTGTTGTACACTCAGAGCACGATTACGTTGATTAATGGATGTAATCGATTTAAAACCTGAAGTTCGACGTCTTTCAATACGTTCAGCTTGAGATTCAATTTCTTCTATTTCAATATCTAGATGCTTTAATAATTCTGTATCCCCGTCGGCTTCTGCTTGTTCTCTTTGTTTAATTAATTCAGCTTTACGAAGAGCAAAATTTGTTGGAGCTTTTTGAAACCGACGTTTTGACTGTATAATCTAGAAGAAGAAAATCAGAAAACGTACAGTGAATGATTAATTTTCTGTGAATACACAATTAGTAAGATTTAATAGTGTGAAATATTCCCATATTATGAATTAAAAGTCAATCTGAACAAGGAATATTCTTTTCAATAATTTCTCTACTCCAGGTCCTTACAATTATAAAATATAATGCATTTGGTGTCGTTACAATAATGGCCAGTTATGCGGCGGATACATTTTTTTAACGTAGAATAACAGATTTTGTAGTGTACGATGAAGGGTTAAGTAGTGATTTAATTTTGAGCGACTTCAATAATACTCACCCAGCGGTCCATTTCACCTGCGAAGAAGAATACAACGACTCTCTACACTTCCTCAACGTCCTACTAACGAGGAGAGAGGATGGTTCCGTCAAAAGAACCATATTTAGAACACTAGAGACCAAAGGTCAGTATACACACTTCTTTGGCTTCACACCGATGAAATACAAACAAACGTAATAGGAATGATTCAACACCTATCCCAGACGGACATATGGAAAATTCTACTACCCCTACGACGACAAATAGGAGAGAACAAAGAAAACTATAAAACTCAAGTTTCGAAGTCGTGTCATAATAATTGATGAAATGATTATGAATAATAAATTTTGTTCGAAACGTCATTCAGTTAATAATATTGTTTCACTATGTGATATATCTAATAAACAAACTAATATGGGATTTTCCATAGCCCGTAGATAGACATTCATGTCTACCATTTCGATTGTAAGCGCTAGGCTTCCACATTCACTCTTTCACTTTTTTGAGGGACACCCCAACCCCGTGAAGGTAGTGAATAGGACTTATCTGGCAGAGGCTATGAACGCGTGACTATATGAAAGCATTTCAAGAAAAAGACCGAAGTCTACGCATCCTCGGGGCTCTACCAAGTCATTTATAGAATAGATTGACATCAACGAAATCACTTACTTTAAATATACCGTGAATATGAAAAGTAATATCGAGAACGATCGAGAATATATGTAACATCAACAACTATATTGAATAGATAAACTACTACTGATAAGGAAATAAAAACCCAGACACTCATGGGACAAACCTGTTCAACAACTCGTTCATCTCGAATAGGTCGATTAATTGCTTCAGTAATCTCAGCAGCTTTGTCACGAACAAAATTTAACGTGGGAGGTTTCATATTTGCAAGTTGTAAACGTCTCATCCAACTATCGAACTCATCTTGTTGAAATTCAGAATTTGAAATAAATGCCAAACGAAATGTACTTTGATCTTTACCCACACGAACAACAATTCCTTTGTTGGTCCTGTTAAAATAAGAATATTGTGTTTTTAGTGATAAAAATTGTCTAGACGAATCAGTTTACTATATATTGTTTCAATTATACTTTGTCATTAAACAATGAGATATCGTAGGTGTGTCTCATGCGTCGGTGGCACAGCGCATGTGGCCCGGGATCCGATCCCCGACCGCTGAGGCACTCCCTTCACCTCTCTAAACCAGTAATAAGACTGGTAAAGAGGGAAGGTTGGGCATGAGGCTAGCAACTCCATCCCGTAAAAATAAACACCACTGCTACCGAAACTTTAAGCCTCTAGCTTGAAGCCCTTGGAATGTAAAGGAATAAAAAAGGTGTGTCTCATCGATAGTCTTCATTTGATTTCTAAACGGTGTTTAAATCAACCAGACACAGAATAACTAGCATATATCATAGCGTCACCAATAAAAATATTTAATCTAGTACAGGAATCCGTATATGATCAGAGAGTTAAATGAATCCTAAATGTTAAAACAGTATCTATAATATCGAATGTTAAAGATAATCTAGTGAAATTTCAGATTTCACCAACAATTCTGACACTAATTCATAAGTAAATCTGTTGCAAAAATCCAGTTTATGTTGCTATTTTTTTCAGTTATTCGGAAAGCAACAATACGAGGATAGAAATTCGCATTTTTAACACAAAAACATTAATTCTGTTGTATAATGTAAGTTTAAATTACCTGTAAGTGTAGAACTTGGGCAATATGGTAGAATGTAACGCCATATTAGATAAGTTTATTTTAATAATCACACAGTGATGCAGTATTAACTAGATGACAAGGTTTCGAGCATAAATTATTGCTCATAATCATATCAATTTAGTCACATGGTTTCACAATTTGTCTTATATATATTTTCTCTCTTTCTGTCTCTCCAACTTCCTTTTGTTGTTTGTTGCCACTTTTCATATATCCGGTATGGGTGTCGCGTCATTCCGATTGTACGTGTGTGGTGTTGAAGGGACGTCAGAGGCATTATGTAGAATTCTTAATGATGCTGGAAATAGGGTGGCATTTAAACCAAACAACTCTCTCAGATATAAACTTTGTCAGCTTAAGGACCCAATAGATCTAATTAGGAAAAATAATATAATTTACCAAATACTATGTAATGACTGTGAGGTCAATTACTTAGGTCAGACTAGTAGATCAGCACCAACTAGATTATTGGAACATAAAAATTTAGCTGGACCTAGAATAATTGACCCTGCTAAGTTAAATAATCTAGAAAAAAGCTCAGCCATTGCACTGCATTCATTTACATGTAATCACAAAATAGGTTGCGTGGGACAGGGTGAGAGTATTAAAAAGGGATGGAGTTAGGTAGAGATAGAGAGATGTTAATCACTGAAGCTTTGTTTATCGATTCAACACCTCACACGTGCCATCGGAATGACGCGACACCCATATCAGATATAAGGAAAGTGACAACAAACAACAAAGGGAAGTTGGAGAGACAGAAAGAGAGAAAATATATGTAAGACAAATTGTGAAAACGTGTGACTAAATTGATATGATTATGAGTGGCAATAATTTATGCTCGAAACCTTGTCATCCAGTTAATACTGCATCACTGTGTGATTATTAAAATAAACTTATCTAATATGGAATTTAAACTATCTGGTTCCATTGGCTTGTTTAATCAACCTCCGTCCAGTGGATCGTTGGTTCTAACACTGTTTCTAACTACTAAGACTTCGGTCCAAACAACCGTGTAAAAAGGCAGTATTCAGTGAATTCGTAGATCTCGGTAGGACACGTCAGCTGAATACTCTACAAACATTGTTATTTACACACTTTTTTACGGTTAAATACATACAAACACATGCAGATTGTTACAACAAAATAAGTATCAGTTTCAACAAATATATGATCACACGACATTTATTGGATTGTAATCACACGGTGACGTTGAATTAAAGCTTTATAATTATTAATAAACAAGGTGATAAAAAAGCTTCAAAGTAAGAAAAATTCCCATTTCATGTAATTAAGAACACATTAGTCAGCAAAAAGGAGATCTCCCTATTCGTAAGTTTACTTCAATTTTAGGTTCGTCTGGCTGATGAGCGTTGCTGAAGTTTTGTAGGATTTTGTTAAGGTCAGTATTTTATCGGTGATATAAAGATATCATCTATATATACCGTTTGTAAACTTCGGACCGTTTGATTCTTGGTAGCAGGATATTTGACTCAGTGTGAAGCAATAGGAGAGTAATGGAACAAGAGGGGGAGGGGTTACCTCTGCGTCCAATCCTGGATATTTCCAGATCGCCCTATCATCCCGTAGCACAATGGTTAGCGGAAAGTTTAGAAACCGTAAGAAAGATAATGGTGAAGCACTTCTTGAAGGATACATTTGAATTTGTGGATTCAGTAAGTCAAGTGAATGTATCTGGGTTAGATATGGTTTCGTTGGACGTAGTTTCCCTACTCAGCAGTATCCCCTTAAAGGAAACTTTATACTACTTATGTGAGTTTATCGATCCAAATAATTTGGATGCTTGTATGCCAATTAAGCATACCAAGGAACTAATCTGGAGATGCACACTCAATGTTCAGTATTTGTTCAATGGTCAAATATACCAACAGAAAGATGGAGTAGCACTGGGTTCTCCACCTAGTCCATGGCTCGCTGATTGCTTTATGACGTATCTCGAGTCAAATATCCTCCTGCCAACAATGAAAGCGGTATGTGGTTGATATCTTTATCATCACCGATGAAAATACTGACCTAGACAAAATCTTGCAAATCTTTAACAACGCTCATCAGTCTGTCGAATTTAAAACTGAGGCGGAATCAGACGGTAAATTATCTTTCCTAGATGTCCAGCTTACAAGACAATCAGATGGAAGTCTACAAAGATCAATCTACCACAAACCAAACTGTAGTGGACAGCTGACAAACTATCACAGTTTTGCCCCAATCAGCAGAAAAAGAAATCTCATATCCTGCCTCTCTTGCGACGAGAATCTACCATTGAATAAGGCATTGGAAATTTTCAGAAAAACTCTAATCAAAAACGGATATCCAACCTCCTTCACCAATAAACATCTAAAGAGGAAGATCAATACTCCTCGAAACCTGAATGTGCCGAAGAAACAACCAATTGTAAATCTGAAATTCAAGGGAGGTACAATTGGTGAGGTTTTTCGAAGTCGCCTGTCAAAAGCAGTTCGAAGAATGTTCTTTGCTGCCTCACCTTCTCCACGCAAGCTCTTATTCATCAAAACGTCAAAGACAAGATTCTGCTTTTGACAGCTTCAATGTGCATTTAATAGCTCATCTGCTCCTGTGGAGCTAAGTACATAGGCCGTACCAGCAGGCCATTGTCTAGGCGTGCCCATGAACACTTACCAGCATGGTTGTAAAAAGGAGAACATGAGACATTATTACTTCTGGCCATGCAGGGACTTCTTTTAGAGTCATAAATGAAGTACGACCAAGTCGTTTGAAAGGATTTCGCCTACATCTTCATGAAGCTGAAACCTTAGCAATCCTTATGTAGAAACCTTTTACTACCATGACCTTAGTACGGATTTTTTTCTTCCTTCTTCTTTATTTTCTTGAATAACTGTATAATAAGGTCTATGTAGTCGGTTTTTATATTGTTGCCACTTATTTTCAATCTTTTATTCTCTTATCAACTGTTTCCAAACGATTATTCATCACTCAACTAGTTAGTTATCAACTCTCTCTCTCTCTCTCTTAACATAGTTACTACTCATGAACTTTGATTGACTTTGTTATTGACTGAGAATAACCTTTGACCTCTATTGTCAATCTACATTGTAAGGTATAAACACCTTAAATAACTGTACAGCTTTGAAGTGAAGTTACGAAAAGAGGGGATCTCTTTGCTGACTGGTGTGTTCTTAATAAAGAAAAAATCACTTGGTTTCCCTGAAGCCTATGCAATCAGATTAAAGAAGCCGGATTTATGTATAACAAAAGAAGACAGTAGTTAGCTTCAATTAACCATGGCAACATACTTTTATTTTACCATCTTTATGACTTTCCTTCCCTCCTCTCTCCCTCTTGCTTACAATGTTTTTTCCCATTATTATCATTATTTTATCTGACATACAGTTAGTTTTCTGAAGCTGTGTGCAAATAGAAAATCCCTGTAGAATATTAACACTGGTGAGGAGACTTCAAACTATCTATCTTATGATTTTAAATCAGACATGTTAAAATCTTGCTATTTATTCCTATGTGGTTTACATACGTTAAATTTATTCGTTTTGTTTTTTACGAAGATTCCTTGTAATTCAATAATATCAAATCTAGACGTTTACAATTGTGTTAATTCTACCAAAATAACTCCAGTTTATTTGTTTTTATGTGCTTTGATCAATGTTATTCACTTAATAATGACGACGTTAACAGATTATCACTCACCACTTACAGACCATATATATTTGTTGAAATTGATACTTATTTGTTGTAATAATGTTCATGTGTTTTTGTATGTATTTAAACTTGAAGATAAACTTGAAGATAATGCTTGAAGAGTATTCAGCTGACGAGTCCGCCTACCGAAACTTATGAATTAACTATAAATACTGCCCCTTACGCTTGTTATAAAAATTTACTACGGGAAGGAACAAGTTAGTCAGCCATTTCATGTCGTTTAGTAGTGCCGTATTTTGTATCGGTGGAGTTTATATCAACTATAAATTGACAAAACTGCCAATGAATAAGCTTCAGAACCAAAAAATAGTAACTGCTGTAGTCATGAATCATTGTTCTTTATTATGCTTTCCTTATGATAGCATAAATTAACAATTGTGAATTTACTGTAACATCGGTCGGTTTTCGACATAGAACTTTGCACATATGTGCGGCAGTTCAAGTCGCCACACTCCATGTAGCACATAAAGCAACAGAAGAAAGTAGGAGAAATGCATAATAGAGACAGTAAACAGAGGTGTGAGACAAAGGAATACTAGTAACGAAGAACAAAACAGTTTCATTTGAAATCATAAGTCACAAGGAGTGGATGCATCTGCGCCATCATTGAGAACAATTTTGAGCCATGTCACCAATTGTTTCCAACCTTCATTGGTTTTTACCGTCCCGAGGACCCCAACCAGGAAGTCTACACCTTCCTACGTGGCCTAGACTAACTGTTGTAGTTTTGATTGACTGGTGCCATGTTTTGGGTTGATCGCCGCTAGCTCTTTTCCAGTCTGGCCCTATATCAGCTAACATGGCCCGTCGAGGAAGGCGATGACTAGGCATACGTAGCACATGTCCTAACCATCTCAGTCGATGTAATTTCACAGTCTCGTCTATTGATTTCCCCGCCTTACCTAGCACTCGACGCCTAACCTCAATATTGCTCACCTTATCATACCACTTCATGCGGGAGATAGAACGCAGACACCTATGATCGAACACAGCTAATCTTTTCATGTCTTCCGCTCTCAATGGCCAGGTCTCACAGCCATAAAGGAGGACGGAGTGGACTGTTGAGCAGTACACACGCCCTTTGGTCGATAGTCGGATATCACGTCTACGCCAGAGACGGCGTAAACTGGGATATGCGAAACTAGCCCTCTGTATTCGTGCTGAGATTTCGTCGGAGATCAACCCGTTATTGTAACATAACTGTAAACACGATTTTATGGTTCAAAAGACTTCTCAGTGGTTCAGCAAATGCATTCACTTTTTGTAATCATCATCCCCGAGATCCATTAAGTCATTATGTTCTTTCATATTACTATTCTTTTCCCGTACATTTCTACTCATTAGAGTTCCTTTTAATTTCTTTTATTTTTCATTTCTTTACCTTTATGTGCTACATGGAGTATGACAACCGGAGCTCTTGCACTTTTGTGCAAAGCCTTATGTTAAAACTCAGTTAGACATGGTAATTTGTCCGGAAAGTTTAAATAATTTATCCTTTTACAGTCACCTTTTATCTTTTCATTCGCTTCTAATTCATGAAAAAACATTCTGCTACCCTGTAAGTTCTTCTGCATGTTGTTTCACATTTTCTGTGGACGCGTCAACAACAACAAATACTAATTGTTCATAATGAAACAGAGACTGTAAGTCCTTCCTTCTACACATTCAGCTTTCATGGGATAATGAGGACATATAAGAATTTTAATTCTTAACCACTTGACCTAACTAACATCGTTTATTTGCATATGAATGTAACACTGTAATACGAACACGTGTGCAGTTACTGAAGTTATTAATTATCAAAAACACAAACCTGGGCATCAAAAGATGTACCACACAATAATTCATAGTTTGTGGAGGGTGTTGGGATAATTCCCAGACGCTCAGACCGAAGGGACCACCCCTTCCCGAGCCTTTGACTTGAAGTCTGATCCATAAGCCAGTGAGGCTGTTTATCAGTGACCAAAACCGGTTCATATGCCGTTCGATCCTTCCGGATTCTGCAGTCCATGTACACCATAGGTTTAAAATTAGGGTTTACTAGCTCTCATAAGTAGACCTGCACGCGCCAGACGTTCGCAATAACCTTCTCGCTTTTGTGGAACATCCTTACCACCTGGATAGGACTTATCTGACAGAGGCTAAGAACGTGTGGCAATATGAGTGCATTTCGAGTAGAAGACCGAAGTCTACCCACCCTCAGCGGTACCAGGTCGTTTATGGTGGCATTTATACAATGATACACCATTGGCTGGCTAATTATACGTTGGTTTTCGGGAGGACCGAAAATACATCTCAGCACATTGAGAGGCCAGAGTGGCCATGCAGTGTCATCCTGTGGCACAACCACTCGGGAGCCTTCTACGTCGGTGACCAAGTTACTGAAGTAGGTTGCAATCACTTGTGGTAAAATCATAACAGTACAACGCGTAAATACACACTTGTCAGTAAAAAGCTGTTACACAGATCAAGAATGTTAAATAAGGGGACATGTTAGATGAAAATATGCGTACCGAGTAGAACCAAGATCATATATTTTCGGAGTCTCTACAACATCAACAATTTCAGCACAACGATAAACTGGTACTCCTTGATGTAATCCTATATTGATACGCACAAAACATCCCTTGACCAAGTTCTGAAAAGGAAAGAAAAGCATTACTTGTTTACAGACAAACAAGTAGATTAATCAGAAAGTGGATTATTATTATTAAGGATTAGAACAGAACAAAAGAATTCGATAACAACAAGTGCTTTATATTAAGATAAAAGCATCTCGACGGCTTCGTGACACCTTTTAACTCATCGACAGCATACAAGATATCAACGTATCGAACGGAAGTATGCTCTCTCTTAACACTGAATCACTATTTACCAACATTCCAGTTATGGAAACAGCCTGTTGTATTTGCCAATATATAGATGAAAACCAGCTGAACATCGGATTACCAACAGTTTGCCTATAGGAACCACTATTGAGATGCACTCTTAATGTGCAATACATGTTCAAAGACATCAGTTACAGACAAAAAGACGGGATAGCAATGGGATCTTGTTTGGGTCCGCTGCTAGCGGACTGTTTCATGGCAAGACTCTAGAATGGTCCACTTAAGCCAACTATTGATAATTCCCAGTTGCATGTTAGATATGTGAATGACATTTTTATTATCTGTGATGATAGTCATGATCTTAATCAATTGTTACAGATCTTCAACAACTGCCATCCAGCAACAAAATGAATCTAAGATTCTTTTTCTTGATATTGAACCTACAAGAAGAGCCAGAGGGACTTTAACAAGGTTCATCTATAGGGAACCCACATGGAATGACCATCTAACGAGTCTCTACAGTTGGGTGTTAGATCGTCGATCATCTCAGTTACCGAGATTGAGACTAACCACAAGGTGAACAACCTGACCAATGTAAAACCTAAAACTCTAGGGTCCGCTGTTATACGAGGAACAAATGGAGACGGAGGAAAGCAGGCCAGAGAAAACAAGATAGGTATCAGGTCAGGATAAGTGTGCACTGATCGACAGACCCTGATACTTATCAGTATTCAATACTTGACACATTTCTTGATCTGAAAACGGCATTTTATGCCGTCAGTCGAGATGTTGTGGTGATTACTGGCTGTAGAGATTATCCATGAAGTATTTTATGCTACTGGAACTCCTGCAGCCATGTAAGAACCTACGGATAGTTGTCTTTTGAAGTGATAACAAACAGCAACTATCTGAACAAAACTGTGAGAGACAACTACTGCTGTATACCCATTGGTATGCATCTCTATATGTAACGCAAAGATGCTTTCTCAATCGACTGATCCACTCTATTAGAGCATTAAAATCGCCCAACTACTTGAAACAACCAAGTATTTTATTTTATAAGTTGATAGCTTCTACGAAACCCACCCTTTAATAGGTTATAAAAGCAATCTACATACTTCACACAGTATATGAAGGACATAACCAGGAGAAAACTAAAAATGTGTTTACTGAGGTGTGACTTATTTTTATTCACTTAGAAAAACTCATTTAATTCGTTTCGGAAACGCTACTGACATTACTAACACACTGCATATAGTTTTAAGGAAAAGCCAAAAACAACTACCCTACATAGTTGTTTACCTGTCATACTGTATAGTTGACATGGCTACTAAAGGCAAACAGGCTAGAAAGCACGTTCAACTATTCAACATAATACAGTAATCGACGTATCTCACAGACTTGAAGTTATACTAGTGGAGAAAATCGTGTAACTCAGTATCCATATGCACTTAGTAACGAATCACAACATACGTTGCGTGAACATTGATGAGTCGAAATGAACGCTAAAATCCCTGTATAGTGGGGTTTGGGCTTCTAACACACTGGTTGAAATTCCAGTTCCTAGATCATTGAGCCACAACTTTATCTTATAAGTATCATATACAAACAATGTAGAAAGAGTAGATTTAAAAAGACTTACATCGAAAAACGGCATGTGAACCCACTTTTCCATTTTGAAACGAGACAGTCGAATACGGGAAAGATGTTCCAAAGAAGATACTAACTCTTCTTCAGGCGAACGACTTCTACCTCGAGCATCATCTTCACTTGATGAACCCGATCTCTGCGAGCCTGACAAACTTGAGAAGCTGGGTAAATGAAATTAAAAGGAGTAATAAAATTCTTTAAATGAATTTAAATGTGACTAACTTATCCACATGGTAATTAAATTTCTGAAATAAAGACGTTAACCATATTATTAAGATTGTGCTGAAGCACTGCCTATCCAATGAAGTGTTTATCAAGCTGGTTAAGTATTAATAAACTAAGGTTAAACTTTTTGTAGACTTTAATTTATACCTGCAAGATAAACCCAATACAACGAAAAATCGCTAAAGTGAGTTGCTAACAACATTTCTTTTATGGAAGTATGGGTGTCGCCATTTCAGTGAATCACGCATTCAGTTTTTATAGTGAGTGACGAAGTTCGGACATTCATAAGTACCGAAGAAACATTGTATTCACTAAACGCATATCCGCCGCACAGGATAACCCACTGCACAGACTACTTTACACTTGGAACTCCTATTTATTATATTTCAGTAAAATAGTAATCAACTGACACGGTTCAGAATAGCAAAAGGGTACCCATCAAGCATATCAAAACATACATATGTACAGTTTACGTTACAAAAGCCGACGCTAAATGTAAAATTATGAATGCAACAAGTATTATGTCAATGTCTTCAAACTACTCGTATACCAAGATTAACAAATGAACATATTTGAGAGCTAACATTGCTTTTATGCAAACCTGAAACATTGATACGATGTCTCAGCCATCAACTACATTGATATGGTGAAGAAAATGTTAACACTAACAGAAATATCACAGCAACCTATCAAGTTACTGACTACTAATCAAAAAATTTGGCGAACTATGGAGTTTGTAAGTCGATTTCTTGTATGGTAATAATACGAAAAGCTAGAGTGAAAATAGCAGCTCAGTTACCACGACGCTTCCGTACATTTTGCGGTGACGATTAGTAAGGACAATTAACCATCAGACTTCGAGAAATATAAGGAATTAGAGACTGACAAACTGACTCAAAATAAAATATCTAGACTAACCAGCCACAGTGACTTTGATAAACCCCATGTAAGGTGATTAAAATCAGGTACACAATAAGAGTTTCTCACTAACATAGTAAAAACAATCCATGATAGACATATTATGCTGAACATTTAGGCTGCTGTAGAAGCCACTTAAAAAAATAGCAGAATAGAAATGGGAAGTAAATGACCAAAAGAACAAAAAGCTAACCTTGGGCGCCTAGTCACAGGACGGGAACCAGCTCGGTCTGAATCAGAAGAGTCTGATGCGCCTGAAGAAAATACACGCTGCGACATGGATTGGTGTTTCTTTCCAGCTCCTGTACGTGCTTGTGGGCTGTCACCGTCAGTGTCTGATGAACTCTCCGCACTGTTTTGGCCAGACCTATCTCTTTCCCCTGAATGGGTACGACGCTTTTTTGCAGCCATCCGTTTCCGATGTTCGATTAGTTCTTGGAATTTACCACTGTGTTGTACCTAAAAAAATGTTTTTCCAATTCCTGTTATCTGGTATTAAGTTAAATCCCTTGCCTTACATGAGGCAAAGAAATAGAAAAATCTATAACACTGGTAGCATGCAAATCACCAGACAAGTGAGAGCTTGCATAGCAGTTAGGTAAGCTATGAACCCATTTATCTGCAACTACAGACTGACTAGGAAGCCTGCTAATTTTAATTAACATTACATAAAATCTGTCTGTTAATCAGACACCATCAGATTTTACCAATTTCAATAGATGACTACTACTCGGTCAATGTTGTTGCATGATTAGGTACTGTGGTACTCTATGTACATTATTATTACGTAATTTCAAAATATTAAATATTCCCATAGTACAATTTAGAACAACATATTTAAGCGAACAATATTGTTTTCAATTAGATCCCATCAGGCTTAACTCTAACATACATAACTTTACAAATATACACCAATCATGGTGTTTTGTCTATAGGATAATAAGATGGTGAATATAAATTGTGCAATTAGTCATAATAGTAGTAATGATAGTAATAATGGTTCTATCAATAATAAGGATGAAGAAGTGAGGCAATCTGTGATAACAAGAATGACGAAAAACAGCATGATTAAACAAACAAATGTTCAGGTAGAAGTAGTCGATAAAGGCTAAGAAAAACAAATGAACCGATTAAGTAATGCTAGATTGTAAGGGACGTAAATGAAACATATTTTTAATGAAGATGTGATAAGATCAAGGGATGTAAAGACAGGGAATGAAAATATAAGTAAGGGGTGCTGGTTGGGTTTCAACAGGCCAACGAAGGGATGATGGGTGTACGAATTTCTTTTGAATGCGTAGCTTAGGCTTAACAGTTTGGATATCTACCGCCTCAGCTGTGTGCAGTAGATGAATACGAAGTCTATTGGAAAGACTCGGTGGGATACGATGAATTACCTTGAAAGCTCTCGTTTTCTCCACTACATGATCACTATCAACTAAATGTGACGAAATTGAGCTACGGATTGTTTTTGTCTATCCTTTGCCAAACCACGATGGGAGATGTTCACTAACACGTTGGCTAAGCTGTCTAGTAGTACGTCCAACATAACTGTCACCGCAGGTGCAGTTGAATTGATAAATGCACATAGATGTGTCAAAACTATCTAGCTTATCCTTCGTTTGCGTCCCAATCATTCGTCGACTAGAGAATGACAAACATAGGTATGCTGCGTAAAACGTCCTTTGTATACTCCTGGAAAGTCTCTGGAATAAAATCTCACTTGATAAGTCACCATTAAATTGTAACTTAACAAATAGAGCTGTTTTACCTGCAGTCATAGTCTCAGGTTTTCTCTCTGATGTTTTCATATGTTTCTTTATGAAACTACTCGAATAGCACATCTCTGTCAAGGAATCGTGAATATATTCAAATTCCTTTTGTAAAAGGTCATCCGTACATATCTTTCTTGCTCTGCTCGTAAGACATTTAACATTTCTTTTATATTTAATGGGCATGTAACTAATGAAGTGTATTGCCCTGTGAATGTGGTTTTTCTATACACGCTTCTCCCAAGTGACCCATCTCGCCTAAATAGCAAGACATCAAGAAAATGTAGTTTATTATCCTGCTCCTCTTCACAAGTAAAAGTAAGCGAAGGGTGAACGTTGTTGAATTTCATCAACAATTCGTTTATGTTTACATTCCCATCAGCTAAGATAAATGTATCATCTACATAACGGTAATACGTATCAAACTCCTTGATGATGTCTTTCAATTCCCCGTATTACGTAATCATATCTCGCTCTGCTGGATTACACTTACAATATCGTCTCTTCGTTGAGGGCGAGGAAACCTATCAGTAAGTTGTCAAACGCCCATCGCTGTAAACCGATTTTCATGTGAATGTTTGCCGACTACAACATAACCTATCTTAGTTTGACAATAAAAACCATTTAGTTGGTTAAACTCCGATAGATGATTTAAGCTTTCGAACTCGTAATAAACTGGTTAAACGTCTAACGCATGCCACAGTAGGAAACCCAAAAGCCGACTGAACAACCCATTTATTTTAAAATCAGGTGAAATGTGATTCAAAACACTGAAATCTTACCTTCTTTTTTTCTAAAGCGAGTTTGCGTTGTCTCAAGCCCTTTGGTCCAAAACCGCCACTCGAATCGCTGTTGCCTGCTTCGTCACTGTCTGAGAAAACATTATGGTAAGCAGATTTCTTTGATTTGTTCATATCTGCAGCAGCCTGCTTAGATAATGAAGCCGCTCGCTGGGCCCTTTCTTTCTCTTTTTTCTCCCTCAGCTTTTGTTTTACAGCTCTTCGTGCACGTATAGCATCTCGTCTTTCAGCCCGCTTAAATAGTTCCTCCTCTCTTTCTTTCTCACTCATTTTGGCCAGCCTCCGTTTATCATCTTCACCACCAATCAAATTGTCATCTAAACCATCATCTTCATCCTCGTCAAGATCATCACTAGATACCTCCCCTTCCTCGATCCCAGTTACCAATGCGTGGTGCATATTCTCATTACACAGTATCGGGTTTTTTTGTTTCCGGCGTGACTGCAACCACTAGTGTTTAAAAAAGTCAAAGTTAAATACAGCACACGATATTGGAGTAATTACCTCTACGTCACCATCACTATCCGAGTCAGAGTCAGAAGAACGGCGACCTTTTGCCATTCACCCGAGGCCTGATACAGCTACCCTTATATGACGGGTAGATCCGTCCCAAATAGGAGTCTGGAACAACCCAGGAACTTAGTTGATATGGAATAAAAATCTGAAAACGATAATTTAATAATAAGATCAAAATGGCTGCGCAAGGAGACATGAATTAAGTAAACAATATCAGAAGACTATGTTAATGAAAACTTATAACAATAATAATTGAAGTTCAAACAAAAATACCTTGACTGTTCCTAGTAATGTTTGCATAAAAACTTAATTCTGACAGTAAAACAGTTACTTATCCTATTTGAATCTTATATATGCATTACAACCAGGTCTTACAATCAGGTTCTTTAGAGAATCGAAATCCATCCCACTAGATTCAACCAGTGCGTAAATGTTGTACACTTTTGTACAAATATAACAACCAAGATTACGTAGTCCTAGAACTAAACTACAAAACGACACTGCTTTGTTTAAGAATATATTCAAGAACAAAACACACGACTCATTATCACTCTCTGACGATGCATGGAAACCAGTAGTAAAGTACATACAGTTGCAAATACTTTAATTTAGGATATCTAATAATGAGAAACACTCAAAACTATTCCTTATTTACACCCTAAACCAAATTATGCTAACAAAGAAAAAATGCAACTATTGTGTTAACGAGGAGAGATTTATACAGGCATAAATCGACTGAAAGAGTACAATCATGCTTTTAATGCACAAATAACACAAAAAGTAGGTAGAAAACAGAGAGAGAAATCTTGAACCAATCTCATTTCCTGAAAGGACAAACTAGCAAGAATCCAGAGTGCATTTTGACAACTTTGGACAGTATTCAAAATAAACTCATGGTGCAATGTATGCATTCCAGCGCATAAAACGACTTGTCTGCATTCTTCCATATTATCAGCTGGCACCCATCCAGGCGAACACGGTGGTTAAAAATTCTTAAGTAATTCATACCGTTTAAGTGCAGTTCCTTGAAACTGTAGTACTGGATCTCAAGATTTACATAATTATGTACGTACTCAAGCTCATCACGCTTGTAACCCTTGAGTGAATGCCACAGAAAGATAGAACTTCGGATAGACGGGATAAAAAAGGGTAACTACGGTAAACTAATAAAACTCAGCAGTTCAGGACAAACTAACCTACGTACCTTAACAGCACCTGACAAGTATCCAGCTGGGCAAATTAATCAAAATGCGCCAGTGAAATGAAAGCCACCACAATTTTACTGTTTAAATGGTTGCTCAAGGTTAACCACCTCATGTAACTCCGAAGTCTTTAGTTATTCTTAGCACTTTCAGCTGTTAATGATAATATAGCAGGCAACGTCTGTCTGACTTTCAGTATTATGTTACAGTATTTCGAAGGAACGGTTAACTGGAAAAGCTATTAACTCTATGAGCAAGTTTGAGACATCGACAGCCTTGTGACTAAACCCCAGCCTCATCAGTATTTAAATGAGTCTCTTAATGGTGATTTACTATGTAGCTAACCTTAGAATTCAAGTATTTAGATGAGAAAGTGTTCAGCTGGGTGTTAATTTAAGATCATTCTTTTTCCTCATCAAAGCTTAGTGTCCGAATTTCTTTGTCTATACATAAGGTGAAATGTGTGGTTTCCTTCAAATTATAGATAGCACTAATTATCTTACCATATTTTTTCTCATACGATGTGATATCAGTCTACTATTTAGGTAATTACACTCGAGTTGTCGGTTAGTGTGCATTATGACGCTTTTCCTGAAACTGAAACCTGAACTCTACTTTTCAAACCACAAATTTAACTCATTATGAACAACCCTGCAGTGCTGGTTCTCTGACCGTAGCTGAAGGCTTACGGTCAAGCATCTACGCCATTTGGCACGCCTTGCGTGTTGCATTCGTTTGTACGGGAAGTTATCGGCCGATATCAGTTCGATGAGAGACTTTTCAGAGAGTTGTTCTTATCTTAATTGCCACGGTCACTACAGGCCCTACTTGTGACACTCCAAGGTGTTATTACAAACGACTTAGCTACTTCTACCGACAAGACTCTAGAAATAACACAACGGCCAATCACTGAAATGTGCTCAATTGCTAAACAGACTTCGATTAGGGACACTGCAGTGATAGACTTATGCAAATCCGTTAAGCAACTGCTTAGTTCCAATTGTCCCCGTAATTCCTCCTATCGTCGACCGAATTCCCCCCAACGGTGAAACCCACGTGGTCGGTCTAAATCCAAAGCACGTTCACTTAAAAACCCTGACTGGTGTTGGTATCACAATACCTATGATCAGGAAGTGTAATGTTGCCGAAAACCTTGTAATTTTGGCATTGTCTCGAAGACTATAAAAAACTATCCCACCGTCACGCGTTAGCGGCGGCCGTCGCCGGTGGCAGGAACCGCCTACTATACATCCGTGATGCATTAAACCAGACCCGGTACTTGGTCGACACAGGCGCAGAAGTCAGCATCCTTCGTGCTGCAGGGGCAGATCGACGGAAGGAACCTACCTTCAACTTACGGGCTGCGAATTGAAAGCCTATTGCAACCTTTGGTGGGAAATACATCTATCTGAACGTAGGTTTACGCAAACCTATTCAGTCGATTTTCCTTCTTTCTGACGTTACAACTCCTATCATTGGCATGAACCTACTCAACCATTACGATTCTACTCGAAAATATCCTCCGTAAACGACTGATTGACGGTACTACTAGACCGTCTGTTGAAGGCATCACCTGAGTAGGTCACAGCTTGCCACTGGTTAAGAAGAAAGCGATCTTTGATTCAACTTTTTAGCCGATTCTTCACAAGTACCCGGAACTAAATTGCCTGTCTAACGATCTACCGTGCATAACCACCAATGCCATGCATCACATCACGACTTCAGGGCAACCCTGTGACATCTACGACTGGCTAGAAATGAATTCGACCATATGCTCACCCTTGGCATCATTCGGTCATCGAATAGCCATTGAGCATCTCCACTTCATAGGGTACCTAAAAAAGACAGCAACGATTGGCAACCGGCGAGTGAACGCCAAAACAACCCATGATTGCTATCCATCGTCTCACATACACGACTTCGCTCCGACATTATCTGGTGCAACTATTTTTTCGAAAATAGATATTCTAACTACCGTCGAGCTCATAACTGGTCGGTTTTATTGGCCTGATATTAATCAAGAGTAAGGGGATAGGCTCATACGTGCTTAGCCCGCCAAAAGTGTAAGGTAGTAAAACATACCAAAAGCCCTCTTGGCACCCTTCTTATCCCCTATGCTCGTTTCGAACACGTTCATATTTTTATTTTACTTTTTATTTTTATTTACAGCTTGATTCCACACCGTATTTTCAGTACAAGTGTGGAATTTTCAGCATGGATATAGGTAGCCCAAATTCAGGCCAACCATAGATATCGGGTGTGCGCCCGCAGGGGATCGAACCTCGGACCATGTGCATGGTCGGCGAGAGTCCTAACCACTGCGCCACCGACGCAGTGGACCCTTTGTCAATGTAGTTGAAGAATGAACGATCAATTCATGGTGGTTCACTCAAAACCAACTCCATATTTCGGTGGGAGTCACCGATACTGCGGTCATCGTTTCATCGTACGCCGTTCGTTAGAATACGGAGAAATACTATCAGAAGTATTATTGTGACTAACTGTTATGACATTTAACCTTAGACTTTGTGTATAATAACCTTATAGTTGGTTCCATATTGGTGCAAGAATAAAGGATTCTCGAGTCACCAATCTGTGTTCTGGTTTTTCGCCTTGGTTATTACACATTGTTGCTGAAGGTCTTTTAAGGGCAGCGTTAAGTCCAGTGTAGTTAGACCTGGACATTGACACCCTCCTAGAATCTCATAAATATACTCATATCCTGACCTGCATCGACCGTTTCACGCGATGGCCCGAAGCAGTACCCCTCAAGGATGTATCTGCTGAAAGAGTCGCACGCGTCTTTTTCGAGAGATGGATCGCAAATTTTGGATGCCCATCCTCCATAGCAGCTGACCGCAGACGGCAATCCGAAGGCGGCTTATTCTTTGCCTTGACTAAAATCCTGGGTCGTATGCGCTTTAGAACAACAGCCTACCATACCCAAGCAAATAGCATGGTAGAATGTTTACGCCGACAGTTGAAGGCTGTGTTGTCAGCCCCAAACTGTGTACATTGGACTGAATCACCACCGTTAGTTCTCTTAGGCACACGAAGTGCCTTGAAAACTGATGCTGATTGTACTGCTACCGAGCTAGCATACGGCACAACACTACGACTGCCCGGTGAGTTTGTTTCTCCCCTTAGCCTCTCAGCAGCGGTAGACTACGCCTCATACGTCAGCAGGCTTACAAACGCAATGCGTTCGGTTAAACCTGCTCCCTTCCAACCACAGTCGATGGACGTCTTTGTTCACCCATGTTTGGAAACTCCTTTAAATGTGTTTGTCTGTCATGACTCTGGAAGTCGCCCTCTGGGACCCCCTTACGATGGACCACATAAAGTCACTAAGCGTATGGATAAATTTTTCGTACTAGAGAATAGAGGCCAAGAACACTCTGTTAGTACCGACTGTCTGAAACCGGCCTAATTAGAAGGCAATTGTCAAGGAACTTAGCCCTAAGTTCCTGTTGTAACGAAGACGCTTTGAACCGATAATGACTATGTATTTTCTTGACTTTAACTCCAAAACACCAGTATTCTTTGAACGAAGTTATATTGTTTGGCAATTAAAGTAAAGACAATTACAAGTCTAGAAACAAATGTTTTTTTCCTTCATGTTCCCTAGTGGAACATAGGGCTTCAAGCTAGTGGCTTGAAGTTTCTGTAGCAGTGTTTATTTTACAGGATGGGGTTGCTAGCCTTATGCATAACCTTTCCTCTTCAGAAGCATTATTTCTGGCTTAGCAAGGTAAAGGAGTGCGTCGACCGGCGATCGAAACCCGGACCACGTGCATGGTCGGCGAGCGTCCCAACCGCTATGCCACCGACGCAGTAAACAAATGTTTATTACGAATGAAATTATAAAGTACTTTTATTCGTATTCTTCTGCCGTCTTCAAACTTGCACGCGACCGGACCATTCGCGCCTTCGAGTTGCCCACCAATGGCTGCCAGTTCCAATAAACAAATGTTCAATGTTCACGTCCTTTGGCACTCCCCGGCAAAATAGGGTTCATCGCTTTTCTCCATAGTGACGATAACCTCGAACAGAACTGCCAATGTGGGAACCTGGGCCAACCGGGACTAGGCTAAAATGGAAAAGCAAGACAAAAAAGTCCAATACACAACAAGCATACCACATCACATCGACACGCTCTCCCCGGTGCGTGGGATCTACGCTCTCTGTCGACAGTACCACCACTGATCTGGTTCACGAGATGTTGGTTGCTTCATACCACTCTAGCACAATCCTCTCCCCGGCGTATCCAATCGCGTACACTGACTCTAACACTACTCGATTCGTTCACAAGTTTAGGAGTGACTTCAGAAGTACTTAAAAAAACATTACAAGATGATTCGCACAATGCGACAACTTTAAATAAACCAACAATTAGATGAGTTGGAACCCATTCGAGTTACACTTTTTTTCTGCCTCTACGAGTTACACTTGAAGAACTGTAGGACTCACAGCAGTACGCCTACATTTCTTCTGTGGGTTGACAATCCAAATGGGAGACGTCCGAACACAAACAAAATTAATCGACAAATAGATGAGAGATGATACCAATTCAGTATATACAACATGAACATACGTACAAAATAATACACCAAGTACGATGGACTGCTCTTCTACGTACTACCCTTGAAGAATTGTAGGACTTACAGCAGTACGCCTACAACCCTTCTCAGGTTGACTCCCTAAGTTGGAAAATCGTTGGATTGTCCAATCTCTGATCTGTCCTCTAACACTTCAAGCAAGCATAATTTTCGAATATCTCGCGTCAGCGAGCCATATTTTTTCCTCACTTCCACTGTCCTCACCAACCCATCACTACTGCATATTACTCCTTCTATTACTCCTAGAGGTCATTTACCTGTAGAAGTCTTATCCGCCACTAAGACTACATCACCAACTTGCAAATTTCGATATGTCTTCTTCCATTTATCTCTTGACTGGAGTGTTAGTATATACTCTTTAAACCATCTCTTCCAAAACATATCCTTCAGATGCTTAGCTTGTCTCCATCTTCTGACCATGGGTCTCGGCTCTGTGCACCCTTCTCCTAAACCGGGATTACTTCGCAATAGTAGTAGTTTGTT